TCCTCTCCCTTGGAAAGGAGTGGAGAGGACGACCAGATCTGGCCGCCTTCTCCAGTGGAGAAGGCGACCGGACTGGTCGTCCTCTCCACTGGAGAGGGCGGCCAGATCTGGTCGCCTTCTCCACTGGAGAGGACGACCAGACTGGTCGTCCTCTCCAATGGAGAAGGCGACCTGATCTGGTCGCCTTCTCCACCGGAGAAGACAACCGAGGTTGTCTTCTCCCGCAAGTTGTTTTTTTTTTTTTTAAATTTGTTGTCGCCGGAAATATGGTCGGAAATATCGCCGGAATTTTTTGACCGGTTATTCCAGGTGAAAAGCCTGCTATTGGGTTTGTTTGACTCAAAACAACAAGTTGAAGGGCCTAATTGCACCTTTTCAAAGTTGAAGGGCCTAATTGCTCTTTTACCTATAGTTTAAGGGTCTATTTGACCCTTTTCCCTTAAATTTATAACTTTATTGTTACCAAATTCACAATCTGACTAAGGGAGTGTTTGGTTGGTAGGTTTTTCTTATAGGAATATGTATGAAAGTGATTGTTGTTGTTTGGTTGATAGGTTTTTAGAATACTACTATAGGTTTCAAATATCCCATCAATTGAAAAACTCATACCCAAATAAAATAAGGGTTTCATTCCCTTATTCATTCTCAAGCACTACTATTAGTAACCATTCTCATTCCACCCTACTACCAAACATGCTAAATACTTTCACCAAAACTCATTACCATTACCAAGTATTTGATACCTATTCCGATTCCTATGTGCGAACCAAACACACCCTAACTTGATTTGCATTGTTCCTAAGAGTATCCCAATAGTTGTAGTTTTTAAAGAATTTTTACAAGTGTGACTAGGAAAGAAAATTTGAGATGAAAAGAAAAAAAGAAAAAACAAAACAAAAACAAAATCTGAAAAGAAAAAAAAATAAAGATTTACACGCCCATTTGGGCGCGAGATTTGTGCCTCACGCGAGGCGGCGTGACTTTGTTTCTTTCTTGGTGTAGCCCACAGACAAAAATCAAGTTCTTTCAAATCAAATCTTATTTACTCTCTCCCCTCTCCCACTCTCCATAACTTTGGCCTTCTCAAAACCACCTCATAAGTGTTGTTTCTTTGACATGTGCTTTCTATGCCTTTGTTTTTAGTTTAGACTAATGTTGATTTTTAATGTTTTGCAAATTCATTTTTAGTAGATTATCTAAAAAATAAATTTCAGTATATTAAAAATGAATATTTATCAGTGATTCATCTTACAACGTGAATCATGGTCTACAATATAATTTGCTAGAAAATGAAGATGGTGATTTGCAAATACTCCGTATAACTTTCCTTAATATTTATAAAATGAAAATAAAGAAATATAAAAAAAAATAATTTTTTTTTTCAAATTGAATAATTAATTAATTATAATGGGTCATATTAAATGGAACTTCTATGAGGATAATTAAACTCATGACAAGTGTTTTAATCCCAAGATTCTAATCACTTCATCAAGATCCCAATACTAGCTTCTTTTAATTTTATATTTCATATTAGAGTACCATAGTGTTAATTGTATGAAAAAAAAAAAAAATGCTTGAGTTACTCAAATTGTAAAATTTCATTCAAATGTTACATTATTTTTTTAAAAAAATAATTTTGAGACACAAATTAAAAACGTTATCTAACTCTAGCCGTTCCAACACCATTGACATTATCCGTTGAGAGGAAATGTTCCGCACCAATCAAGACCTGATCATGAATTGCAGTACTCCAATCCATCCCTTGAACCAAATTGGCGAGAAAATATGCACATCTATTCGTTTCTCTAGCTATGTGAGAAAAAACGAATAGCCTTGAACTTCTTTCACAAATGAATACAATCCTTAACGAGAGTCACCACATTATAATTGATTTTTATCAAATAAAAGACTATCTATTTGAAATAAATTATGATACATTATATTAATAACCAATCTTTTTTATTGTCGCCAATAATTGTATTACTCATTCCATTCGCATTACATAGTTTGTCATCATTTACGAGTGACCAACATATTTGAAAATGCATGTGATATGATATACCACGTACACTAGAATAAAAAAAATGCTACTTATCTTAACAATTTATATCTATTTTTTTAAGTGACTAGGAAAATTCATATTCACGATATGAGGATGTGTATTGAATAAATCCCGATTTAAACCAAAAAGGTAAATTAAATAGACTGCTTTTATTAAAATAATTGAGTGAAAAAAATGAACCCGTTAGTGTTAATATCAATCGATCACATCAAGAAACAAAATTAAATAAATAGAGTAAAAGTTGTAAGAAACTGATGATAACTTTAGGACTTAGGAGTATTCACCGTTAATTCATTTCTAATTTGGCATGAGTAGTTTATCTTGTAGTCACCTTTCAATCAACACTAAAAAGCAGACACAAAAGAAGAAAGAATTGAACATTATGTTATGGATAACCCATCCATCAGATTTCTGGATGAGATTAAGCTTTAATCCAATTAAATCTCGTCACAAGTTCAACACATAATTTGCTTTAAATTCACACCAGCCATCAATCAGTCTATAATAAGATTTGTTGAATTTTGTTGCCGACATGCACTTAGAGGCTAGAGCAAACTTATTGGTTTAATTTGTGATTTTTTTATTTTTTATTTTTTTATTTTTTGATGGGGAGGGAGATTCTGTCAGCTAAAAAACAAAAAAAAACTCCAATGGGTTTAATTTACTCCTATATGCCATCTATACTATAACGAGTAAATGGCAGCCAATGTCCTTCGAATTTGGTGATTTTGTCATATTTAGTTCTAAATTTTCAAATCGATCACAAGTGGTCTGTCAAGTTTCGAATTCGACATGCCGTAGTCCTTCCATTAACTGTTGTCGTCTGCGCCGTGAAAAGTAAGGTCAAAACAGTCTTTTTATTTCAACCCAAGCCAAAACAAATCATTTCCCTAAAAAAAGAGCTTTATTTGTCAGGAAGGAATCCACAATTTTGAAATTTTCGGATTGAAATTGCGATTTTGGCTCGCCAAAGAAAGGTGTTTGCGTAATTGAGAATTATTGGAGAAAAAGTTCGATGGGAGGAGATTAGGGCTAATTTTAATTTTTGACAGAAATGAATTGTTTTGGTTGGGGCTAAAATAAAAAGACTATTTTGTCCTTATTTTTCACGGCGCAGAAGACATATATTAACGTAAGGAATACGGCAGGTCGAATTCAAAACTCGAAAGACCACGGATGGTTGATTTGAAAGTTTAGAACTAAAAGTGACGAAACTACCAAACTCGGAGGACCTTAGCTAGCCTGTCATTTACTCATACTATAATCTATAATATAATTTATAAAGGGAATGCTTGGAAAATGGCTTATCAATCAATATAATTTTAAATTGATGTTTAGTAAAATAGTTTATTAACATAATATATTGGCGCAATCAGTTGATTTGCAAAATACTACTTTGATCCGCGTTCCTCATCAACTTATTGCATTTCTCTTCTTTAGCCTTTGAACAAAACTTTTAAAGTTTTGTTCAACATAATCACACTTAAAACGAAACCTTGAATGAAATTTTAAAGGTTCTGCTTAGCATATTCACACTTGAACAGAATTTTGAGTGGAACTTTAAAGGTTCGGTTGAAACATGACATACTTAAAGTCTTAAACGGAACCTTGAATGAAACTTTAAAAGGGTCTATTGAGCATAGTTAAACAAGGCTCATAACATTTTAAGTTTGGATAGAAACTTACAAATCTATGCTAAATGTGAGGCAGAGCAAAGGTGTTTCTACGGGAGTTTAAAGATCCTTTTAAAAACCTTAAAACTACTGCTGGTGCTAAATATGATAAACTTGTTAAACTTTAAATTTTTGCTAAAAAGTAGAATTATCTATTTACAAATATTAACCAAGCTTCCAAAAATTTATAATAAAATAACTTTGATATGTATGAGAGAGATCAATATGAAAGCTCGGATAGTCATACATGTCCGACCTCATCTCATTATAAGTCATTTTACATGTAACCAACAAATAATAAACAATTAATTACCAAACACATTTTCTACAACTAACTAATACTATTAGTGGGTCAAAACAACTAACATAATTAGCTATTAGCTATTTGTCACGCACCCCTAAAGTGTGCTGAATAGCATATTTAAAATAAAAATTTATTGATTAGTTTTAATTAGTATTTTAATAATTTATAGCATGCGATAATAATGTCATTTAAACTGTAATTCGCTTACCTGTGTTAGTGCACTTCTTTTGGTCTTTAGTATGTGTTTTTCAGCTTTCATTATTAACTTAACTCAACCTCGTTCAAGTCTAATATAATATATATGGATTAATTGCCTTTCAAGTGATTATCTTTGATAATCTCTTCAATTATTGCCCTCGAAAGTGAAGCTCTAAATGAGACTAATTTCACATTGGTCCACAAGAGATTATATATTGGTGCTTAAGTTGAAGTTAAATTTTCACTCATGAATTAATTTTTGTGGTGGAGTTAATGTCGTATCAATGAAAAACTCAACAAATAAATAATGATATAATCCCACATCGACTCCACAAGAGATTTTTTTTTTAAAAAAAAAAAAACTATAAAAGCTATTGTCTCAAATTGCCTCGTACTCAACACTTTTTGATCGAGTCCGTTGCACAAGATCTTCATAATTCAATTTACCTCTTTGATGTAATTTACAATCTATTACACAAACAAAATTTATCTCGTGTACACCCTCAAATAGTTACTGCAAACAGTAACTCTCATCATCCAAATATATATATATACCAATAATTGAAGATTAATTGTGTGAAGCAAATGAAAATAAAAATTTACTCTTTCTAAATATATACATTTTTATTCACTAAACATTAAATTATTTAATATTAAAAATTAAATTATAAACAATCTAAATATATACATTTTTATTCACTAAACATTAAATTATTTAATATTAAAAATTAAATTATAAACAAGTAAGATCAACCATTAGTAATTGAACCAAAAACAAATATAAAATGGAAAGGAAATGAGTGTAATTTAGGCATGTTCATGTTCCAGTTCATTGATGAACAATTGAACAAGTACCTATATTCATTCATTTCCCTACCTATATTCAACCATATATGAAACAGTATAATAAACTCAGACTCAGATTAGCATACAATACATTTAATCATGAAAGATCTTAACTATTAGAATCCTCACACTGGATACTAAACAATCTATGAATTTAAACAATCTACAAATCAAAGATAGAAATGCATTGGTTCACTTCTTTATTAGTTACTGATCACCAGAATCAAAGGTTTCTAAGGACTTCTGCATACCATGCTCTATGAATACTGGCAGAAGCAACTGCAACGACTAACAATTTCTCCCCGGTTTCCACCAACTTTTCTGTAAGAACAGAGGCGCCAACTCGTTTAAGGGCATTTTCTGCTAGTTTCTTACCCTTGGAACCACTTCCGCCTAGTAAAACTCCTCTGGTTGCCAAGCGGATAGCATGTGAAATCCGTTGGAAGACTGTGTCTTCAGCTCGCAAGCTCTTCCTCAGCATATTTGTCACTACCTCCTTCCTTGCTTGGGACTTCTCTGTCTCATCAGATTCCAGACAAGAGCTCATTGATTCTACGAGTTCTGATATGCCTGCATCCTCAGTATTATCCACCAGCTCATACAGCTGCGTAACACATTTGCCTATCAGAGTTTCCATGTCCTCAGCACTGGATACGAGGTGCTCAGTAAGAAGGGTTTGCCGCAGGACCAATATACTGCAAAGACATCAGAAGAAGCCACCACATAATTAAAAACAAAAGCAGTACAAGTACCTGTTTTCTCCTTTTCTAACCCTATAACTGTGAATCTTTTATAATTCTTCTTGCAAATACTTCCTTAGTACCGTTAATATTGTTAGTTATCTGAAAACAGGCTTGGAGAAAGCAACACAGCATGCAATGCCAAAATTATAGAAGGCAGGTATACCAATTGCACAAGGAAAGGTTAATACCGATTCTCGAGTGACTAATACCAAAGGTTGAGTAATACTAGAACTTAAGGCGCTATGATGCCAACCACCAATACAGGCTTGGTACAGTCGTGTTACTTGACGTAGGCTGGGTACAGTTAAATGACACAGAAAACAGTTTATGGATTTCCCTCATAACTAGTCTACTAGTACCACCTAAAGTCAATAGGTCAGCAAGTAGCCGATAATCACGTAATAACCAACAAAGGTCAAGGCACAACCAGAAATATAGTGATATGTACATTTAATTCCATAGAGCACCATCTTTGCTCAAAGAGTCAAAGCACAAACAATGTCTATGAGTCCCAATGATATGTACGTTGTGTACAAGTCAGGGTATAGAGGAGCCAGAATATGAACCCACCTGATACAGATGACAATGATTTTATGGAGCTCAGATTGAGCAGCTTGCAATCTGTAGAAACTTAACTTCAAAGTCTCAGGCAGTTTTTCTGCTGTTAAACCCTCAATCTCAGTTACAAGCTTCAATAACCCAAGCCTCACCAAGAGATCAACTTTATCTCCCTTGCATTCCGGCTGTTCAACTCCTAAATCAATAATGGACATTGGACAATTTATATAATGAATTAAGAAAAAAATGAAAATTTAGGGAATTGGCTAATTTTAGTATTATCAAAAGCTAACCTGCAGTAGTTGAGGTTATAACTTTATTTTTTGGTTCCCTAAAAATATCACCTCCAGCACGAAGGGTGGAGGGAGCCTCATCCCGAGAGTACCTCTCATTGCTTAACCCCAATGCCGATAGAGAATTCAAATGATCATTCCAATCATTCTCGAACTCTGAAATCAAAGCAGAAAGCAACTCCTTTACCAGAGGCAGAGAGGCAGATGCCTTAGAAGGAGGTCCATAACGGTTGGAAAAAGCATTTCTGAGGTATTCAACACCAGCAGGCCCCTTGATATAAGGTTCCAACCCTCTGATGCGTGTTTTAGTTCTACTTCGCTTGAGTCTCTGAAAATTTGCAGACATTCTCATTAAGATTTTGTACCTTGTCAAAAAGATGAATATAGGGAGCCATACTGCAAAATCAAATAGGAACCTGTATGCGATAAATTTGCATACCAAAATGTTTTTATGTTTCTTACAAATAAAAGCAAGTGTTATCCATGACTATCAAGCACACATCTCAATGTACAGGTTGCTGTTATAAGAGTACTTTACTACCTTTCTTCTCATTCCTTCAAGTCTTGACATGAATGGTATAGTTAATGAAAGACCAAGAATTCGAAAACTTAAGAAAACTTTTTGGAAGAAAACAGATAACTCCAATTATTTCACTATGTTGACATGCTCATACAAGATTGGAGTTTGACAAATTTCTTTCCATGAAAAACCAATAGCTTAGTGCTATGAATTCCTAAAAAAACTATAAGCTACACTACTTTAACACCCCTATTACGTCAACTTTAAAAATGAGAATTCAAAGTAGCAGAGAGAATAATTAAGGCTTCAAATGCCCACCTGAATTTGTTGTAAAACAAAGCGCAGGCCCTGGACTACGACAAGAGCAAATTTAGTGTTAGATTTATCTGCAGCTTGTGGAATATCAGCTAGTTCCTGTAATAATTTCTGATGAGCACATTTCAGTTCATCCTTATCATCAGGAGCACAGAGTTTCTGCAGCGTCAATAACGAATATTCCAAGATCCTTCCTAGATAATCAATGTCTAATATTCCAGCATTTAGCATCTGATGAAGGGACAAAGAGGACAAGATCAGGTCAATCACTAAGAAACAGAGTTGCGGACCTATAAAATATAGGATTTAAAAGGTGAGTACCTGTGAGAGAATATCAATATCAATTCTTTCAACAATATCTTGTCTCCAACTAGGAGACATCTTGCACAGTTCATCTTGAACTTCTTTGATGAGCTTAAGAACCCAGCTATAATCAGGCTCATTCTGTTTCATTGAGTCAATGACTCCATCCCAGAAAGCCTTGTCCATTGTGCGCCTCACTTTTGTCTGCATATCAAGGAAGCATGAAATTCGGTTTGATGAATACATAAAAGAAAACTGATACAAGACCTATAGAATAGAATGTCAGTTGTTACCTTAATGTGTGTCTGGTAGTGACTAATAATGTCGAAGCCATGCTTAATAATGTCGAAGCCAGGAGGTTCATGGAAAATTTCATTCACAAGTATTTCATTCTCTGTCGGCATTGTTGCAGTCTTGGAAAAATTTTGAGTTCTCTTAGGAGTCAAGGAACCATTTTGATTGCTTGAGGAACTATGGAGCTTCAATAAAGAGGCACCATCATGCTGGACGCTCGGAAAATCTTCTACAACATCACACTTCTTGGCATCACTGGATGCAGAGCTGTCTATCAAACCACCTGAACTAGGAGTATGAGGATATGAAGAGGATAATAAACTACTAGATTCAGTTTTGTCAGCAAATCTTGACCGTGTCTCATGAAGTGCGTGTTCTAAACGCTTGATTCCACCCTCACCAGCAAGTTGCTGCAATTTTCCCCGCAGAACTTTTTGGTTTTCAGCAACCTAACAAGAAAAGGTAATCCACAAAAATATTAACCACCATATAAATTATTCAATATGGTTACAAAAAAAAAAAAAAAAAAGATTTTGTACAGCACACCTGTTTTTGCAAAGCCTTCATTTCAGGCATATGATCACCAGACTGCTTGCAAGCTTGTAACATTGAATGCTCCAGCTCACAAGTAGCTCTCACCAATTTTTTTTCTAAAATCTTGGCATCCTTGACCTTCCACATCACAAAGCTATATAGAAAAGAACACCATGCTTTATCAAAAGCTTCCAGCTGAGATCTAAAAGTTAGACAGTCTGAAGAAGGATGGACAGTCTCCCCGAATTGGGACTGAATGGACCATTCCAAAATAACTTTAATCAATAAATCAAACTCTTTCACAAAGATTCCTGCAGACTCAGCAAGAGCATTCTCATCCTGTCCATTTCCAATGAAAACCATATCTGGATGACCAAAAATCATGTAAGCACAGAGAACTACCCTCACTGGATACCTTGGTAGCTTGACTGTGTCAATCTTCTCTTTTCCAGACCTGCTGCATTTCTGTGTTGTTTTATCTACATTGACCCCTTTACTTGGAAAGGTAACACATTTGAGCAGATGATCAATGTTTCCTAAACTAAACACTCGACTGGCACCATGAACCTCCTGGCTGATAATGATGCGATTCTCAAGTCTATCAAGCAAAGCTTTTGTCGTTTGAATGATTGAAACAGACTCAATCTCTGAGGCAATCTGCTCAAATGTCATCCTTTTGACCAACTGTCCATTGATTTTTAAGTCTGCATATGCCTTAGCTAATGCAAATGTTGTTCCTCTTTGTCTGACAAATTGCATCCAACACCTGATAAACATACAACATATTAACTCCATAGCATATATGAGAGAGAAATTAGAGGAAAGGAGTATGAGAACAAGAAGTAAATATAAGTCTATTCTGGATACCATTAATTCGGACCACTCTGCATACAACCAAGCTAGAGTTTTCACTCTGTTATGGGCAGGCAAAGAGGTCCTGTTGAAGAGTGTTGCTCAACCTATGCCAACTTATTCCATTAGTGTTTTTTTACTGCTGAAAACCTTCTGTGAGAACCTAGGCTAGAAAGACTCATGAATAAATAAATATTGGTGGGGTAGTGATGGGCAGTACGGGAATGGGATACGGTGGATGGCTTGGGACAGACTAAGTGTCCCAAAGCAGTTTGGGGGCCTTGGCTTTAAGCGAGTGCACAAGTTCAACTTAGCCCTCTTGGGCAAACAGGGTTGGCGGTTCTTGACTAATCTTTTATATGCTCACGTCACGGGCAAAAAAACATAAGGAAAAAAGAACAAAGAATAATAGTTGGAAAAGGAAAAGAAGAAAACACTGGGTTTACTTGAGACCCAAAACTCCCTTAGACCCTTTTTGGGTTTGAATTTCTCCTTTCTATTATTCTAAATAGCACTCCACAAAGATTCCTAAACTAAGAATGATTAATTATTTGGTAGTTTTAAAATAATTAAACTTCTTAAAGTAATTTGAAGACTAAGAGTAATAAGTTAAATAACTATTCAGTAGTTTCTAAATAACTATTTAGTAGTTTCTTAATATCCAAACTATGTAATGTAATTGTAAAAAAAATAAGACTTCCTAAATAATCATGGCCCTAGTATGTATCACAATCCCACATCATTGGTTACCCGTATTTTTAAAGATCATTATTTTCCAAGATGCTCATTTCTCGAGGCAACTATAGGCAGCAACCCGGTATCCATGCTAGCCAAAACATCCTCAGTGCGGGAGCAGCAAGAAGAATAACGGATGGAAAGCAGATAAATATTTGGGCTCAACCTTGGCTCCCAGATACCAACAACCCCTACATTGAAACTGAACCACTGCCAGGGCTTACCAACTCTACTGTCTCTTCCCTAGTAAACATGGATGATCACACATGGGATGAGGACCTTTTAAGAGACATTTTTTAGCCCCGAGATCTTAATCTCATTCTCAAAACCCCTATTAGTCCCCTTTACAAGGATAGTTGGTATTGGAAGGGAGATTTGGGAGGCCAGTACTCGGTAAGTAATGGTTATAGAAGCCTTGGTGAACTAGGGACACAACAACAGAATCAGTCTAGCTTTGAGTGGAATAAACTGTGATGAGAGTGAAGAATCAGTAAACTATGTTTTTCTACACTGCAGAAAAGCAATGCAAGTCTGGCAACTTTTTTGTCATGGGAATCTTATAAACTCTGAGACTACGTTTGCACAGGGTTTAGTAGAGATCTTAACAGGTAATTAAGGTGACAAAGTGATAAAGATTGTCTTCATTCTGGGAGCTTTGGCACGCTCGAAACGCTCTGTTGTAGGATGGTAAAAACCTGGAATTGGAGAAAATTGCAGTGTCAGCTACTGTCCAACTAGAGAATCGGGTGGAAGCTTGCAGATGTGATTCCCCAATCCCCAGCAACAGGATTGCAAGCCAACACATCAAATGTAGTTGCCACCCCCCCCCCCACCCCCCACCAATCCCCCTCCCCCAGGTTATCTGCTTGTTTTCAGAGAAAGGAGAACTCATTGGCACAAAGAATGGATTACTCTGTTCTATCCAGGATCAGTATCAAGCCAAGGCTCTTGCGTGTGGGGAGGCTCTATCCTGGATTAAAGACTGATGCTTAAACAACGTATTCTTGGAGACAGACTACCTAAATCTGTGTCAAAGTATCAACTTAAGGTATTGGATTTGTCTTATGCTGGTTTTGCGGTGAAAGATTGTATTGCTCTAGTTCAATCAATGGGTTTTATTATTGTTCATCACATTTTGAGATTAGCGAACCGTGTAGCCCATGCACTGGCTAAGGCTGCAGGCTCTCAGTTTGGTCCACTTCTTTGGGAGTAAATCGTCCTCGTATATAGATTGAGGATCATATGAGAACCATGCCTTAGGTGAAAATGTGAGAACTGCATGAGTGAACACAATCTACTACACGAATGCACTCGTGGCTACTCCAGGGTCTCCACCGTCATCCAGGCATGCCTAGGAGTAAATTTTGTGTATTCATGTAATAGATTGCGTGCACTCATGGTCTCATGCAGACATGCAGTAGTTCGCAGGTTCTCACCTAAGGCATGGTTCTCATATGAACGCAAGCCTATATATATATATATATATATATATATATATATATAGAGAGAGAGAGAGAGAGAGAAATAATCAAATGAGACCACCTTTTCCCGTGAGTCCCGTGAGAGTGTGAGACCCTTCATAAATTCACACAAGCTACCACACGAATGCACACAAACTAGATTGTGTGCAATTTGCCCAAGCTACGTGAACAGGAACAAGTGGACGCACTTGAATATTAGCCTATATGTGTGTGTGTGTGTGTGTGTGTGTGTGTGTGTGTGTAAAGGCACTTTAAAGAGCACACATTCCTCTAAAGCAAAAGACATACATTCACAACAAAACAAGACCATCTTATACTAGAGTTGGAAGATAGTAAACAAAAGAAAATTCTACTTTTGAATTTTGATTCCACAAATGTTATTCCACTTTTGGTGCACGACTTCAAAATTCTTGCCACTTTTGGTTCTTCTTTTGACCAACAGTAGGATTGTGTCTTTTTCAGTAGTAAATACAACCCTTTCTTAACCCCATTCAGCTTTTCCTTTCTTTTTTCTTTCTTTTTTTAATTTATTTTTTCCAGTTAAAACCCTTCATCTTTTACTTCAAGAAAAAAATAAAAATAAAATCAGGAAACCTAGTATGGCCGAAAACTGACAGCTGCAATTGAGCCCACACAGCACACCCCGACCAAAAAATATATGCCATGGCTGTCAAGAGGATTAAAAGAATTTTTTCGTAGATTTGGTTTTATGGAACACTATTATTTATTTTAATCTCAGATTTGGTTTTAATTGAGTTAATTACAAAGAGTCTTTGATAATTGTAGGCCTGAGATTGCTTAGGATTTTGTGTATTAATTAGAGACGCAAGTAGCTTTGTGTTATGGCCTTATGGTCATCTGGGAATTTGGATGAGTAAAATACTTCATGGTGGTCACTTCTTGTCCATGGTGTGTCGTAATTTTTCTTTTATTCTTAAAGAATACGCTCAAGGCTATTTTAAAACATATAAATATAAATATAAAGGAATTAGAATAAATGAAGCTGGAAGAGAGAGGAGGTTAAGAAAGGACATATTTACTTGAAAAAGACACATTCTGGCTGTTGGTCACCAGATTTTAGACCAGGACTAAAAGAGGGAAAATTTCAATTTAAAAAAAAAAATCATTGATTTTTATAAGAATATCCAATTAACCTCAAAGATGGGCATAATATCTTGCAATAAATTCTTGGTATGTCTGACTGAAGATCAAGCAACAGCTTTCATGCATCCCAAATTATATTATATGTATGCAATTAACTATGAACATTCTCTTCATGTTGTAGAACCCAAGGCTCTAAGCTTCTAGGCAGCAAAAAATTGTAAATGAACAAAAAATTTTATTTGAACAAAATATATGTGACTGTCAAATCTTTCTCTCTACCAGTAGTTTATGGAAAATGGCATTGTTTCAGTTCCAGAGGGTGGCTTACATACCTTGCTAGCCTCTTATATTCAATCATGAACTTAAATATGAGCACTCTCTTCATGTTATTAGATCTAAAGCACTAACCTCCTTAAACAACAGAAAAAGTTCATGTGAACCAACTAACCAAAATCTAAGGACACATGTATGTGTGACTGTCAAACCATTCTCTCCATTAAACAGAAAATGGCATAGTTCAACTCAAGAAGATTACTTTCCAAAAAGAATAGTTCATAAAATCTTCAATTATGTACTACTAAAGAAAGAAATCTCCAAACAGAAATGAAAATATCACAGAAATTCCAAGAATGGCTTATTTACCTTGCTAGTTTATTGAACAGAAGTTTTCTGTGATCAGTTATTCTTGAACAGACTTGATCTGGACTATGCATATTTCTCCTGTGCTTCAAATACTCTGCTCTCAGCAATTGAGCCTGGTAATAACAAACATATCAGGAACTTTATTTCATTGGCTGCTTTTTAAATAATACTGTCAGTATTACAAATGCACTAACAATAGAACAATGATAGCAAGGGGAAAATCTTGTTATTTTGTTCAGCTGCTTTTTAGTAAACATACCTTACGAAGCCGAACTGCTAGTTGGTCTTTCAGCTTGGTCCTCTCAATTTCCCGACGACTGTAAACATGGTGTGCCACTTGCCGAACTTGTAATACCCTTGCACGTGCCCTAGATCTGTCTGCTTCCAAAAACCCCAATCGTTTCTTCTCAGCTGCAGCACGCTTCCTATAAATAGCAGCCTGGATACTTTCTTTATACTTTCTCTCTTTAATTATTCTTTTCCTTAACAACTGAGCAGTCCTTTCTTTCTTTACAGCCCTTCGCTGCCAAAGAGCTTTAAGAAGAAGCATCCGATTTACCTCTGCTTGGTGCACACGTGACTCAACTTTACTACCCAGCTCATCGCGCTGTTTCACAAAACGCATTTCTACTGCAATTTTGGCTGCTTGTCGAAGTTCATCCAATTTAGCTAAGCGTTTCTGAACTTTTTCAAGGATGCTTAACCTATTTGCATAACAAATAAGAAGCAATTTAAAAAGTAAAACTAAAATTCACTCACTATATAGTTTGCCCTAATATTCCCCCAATTTTGGATATCCTGGATTACTTTCATAAATGGTCAAAATTAAACTAATATCAGCTGTCAGCATGCCTTCTATTCAACCAAAATTGTTCCTTTAGTCATCAATTTGGGCTTACATCAACTTCTCTTCCTCTATGAAACTACTCAACTAAAGACATGAGTATCAAAATAACAAAATACGCATAATTACTACAGGTCATTATTGCAGTTAGAAAACTGAAAATTAGTGTATGAAAATGCCTAATATTTGATGCAAATATGCAATGGTAAAACCAGTGTTGATTATGGGCGACCAACTTAAAAAGAAAAAAAACAAACAAACCTACCTTGTTTACACTATTTAGAAAAACAAAAAAAAAAAAAAAAAACAAAAAAAAACAAAACAAAAAACAAAAAACAAAAAACAAAGAAAAAAACACAAAAAAACCCAAAAAAAAAAAAATCATAAACAAATTAAACATAAATACATTTTTCTTCAATTCTTCCTTGTAAACTTTTGGTCTTCTTCAATTTAGGGTTTAGGACTCTCTACCTATTAGGGTGGGCAAGACTGAGAGACTGAGATGCTAGGTAGCGAGAAACGACTGTTGCAAGCTAGTGAGATCGAGAACTCGAAGAAGGGAAAGACAACTTTTCTGATCATGCAACAGTTGTGACGGTGATCGGCGAGTCGGTGACAATTGTGCAACAAGTAGCGAACAATGACAAAGCTATGGGGGAAGGATTGTTGGCTTGCTATGAAATGCAATTGTGCAATTAAAGCAATGAAGCGTGATGTGGCCAAGTGATGGACTGATGTGAAAAATTGAAGATTAGGTAGGTTTGTTTCGCTCAAATAATACATACATACATACATTATACATATATATGTTGTTACTAATATAGTAACGTAGGACTTATGTCCGTGATTATAGGAATTCGTATTTATTTCTTTACCTTATTTAGGGATCCTCTCATGTATATAATAAGACCTCCTTTTACTTTGTGAAAACAAAATATCTTTTCAAATCCTACGTTTACATGGTATCAGAGTCAAAGACCTAGGGTTTGTGAAGAAGTTCTAAAATTCGTACTTAAAACAAAAGGTGATTACAGTAGCATATATACAAACTACTCTAATAAATAAAAGAACTAATTAGCTTAATTCTTTCATCAAAATCAGTAAACTGAAAATTACCACCAATCTCTCCTTTATTCCTAAAATAAATTCCCTAACTTTGACTCCCTACTATTCAACACTCAGCCTCAAGTTGAAGAATATATATCATGTAATCCCAGCTTGCAAATTAATTCTTCAAAGTTAGGTCTTGGACTCTTGGTAGAGCTTTGGTGAGGATGTCTGCAATTTGTTGCTTGGTAGGAATGTGGTTCAATTTAATAGTCTCACCAAAAGGTGACGAAGTGTCAATCGATTTCAACGTGCTTAGTCCAATCATGATGAACAGTATATTTTGTTATGCTAATAGTTGCCTAATTGTCACACATCATTAGAATAGGAGATGAACTCACTTGAACCCTTTATCCAAATCCCTTCACAAGGAAACAAATTCCTTGTGCTAGTACTCTGTACTCGGCTTATACACTACTTCTAGCTACCACTGATTGCTTCTTACTCCTCCATGTAGCAAGATTACCCCAAACAAAAGAATAATACCCAGAAGTTAACCGCTTATAAGTGATGTCTTCTGCCCAATCAACATCTGAGTACATCTCAATGTCATGATTCTCAGTCTTTCTGAAAAATAAGCCTTTCCATGGTATCATCTTCAAGTATCGAAGAATTTTGTAGACTACCTCCATGTGTCTCTCTTTAAGGTTGTGCATGAATTGACTCACAACAGTCACGGCAAAACCAATATCTGGTTGAGTGTATGAAGATAAATCAAGCGTCCAACAAGTCATTGCAAGTGTACTTTCTTTCTCAGTAGCAATTAGTGCCAAGTTTCTTTTGACAACCCATAGGAGTATCAACTAGCTTACATCCAAACATGTCATTCTCCTTAAGAAGAGCTAAAATGTATTTCCTTTGAGAAACAATAATGCCATTCCTTGAGGGGTTTATACTTTATGGTGAAAATCCGCTTGCACCCCATGGGCCTTTTCCCAACTGGCAAATCAGTCATGTTCCATTCTTCTCAGGTTCATAAATCTCATCTTGTATTGCTTTCTTCCATTCTAAATTTCGTAATGCCTCTTGTATTGTTTTGGGAATCTAAATATCATCAAGGGAGATAGCAAATGCTTTGTAAGATGGTGACAACCCCACATAAGTAACATAATTCCCAATTGGATGACTTGTACATCTCCTAACACCCTTCCTCAATGCAATTGGTATGTTAGAGTCATCTATACTAGGATTGGGTAATTCTCCAACCCTATCTAAACCCATGTTTTCTTCAGGTGGGCTTGAAATTGAGTCAATGCCTTGGTCACATGTTGGTTGTAACCCATGCTCTAACTCCTTATCTTTTCTTCTTTGGGTGATTATAGGCAGAGTCGTAGGAGAAACTGTAAATCACCACCAATCTCTCCTTTTTTCCTAAAATAAATTCCCTAACTTTGAGTCCCTACTATTCAACAATTTGGATTATTTTTTCTCTCGTCTATTTTTCTTTCGAACTACGAGCTACCATGCTCAAACTCGCTTGGGTATACATTTCCTGTTATCACCACTCAACTGAGCTAAGAGAGGTTGCTAGCAGCCAACGAGTCATTCTAGAGAGTTTTGTCACCAACAGACGCGCATGTGAAGCTCACGTGCCATCGCTACTTGATGTTACCGATTTAAACACTAGCACGTGAGGTTCAACTACCAGCGGGAAAAAAAAAAAAAAAAATTTCCCGTTAACTGTTCCCGAGTAGTATGAGTTCTAGACTTCATTTGGACCATAACTTCTCCCGTGAAGGTCTACTGTGACAGGTTAGTTTGATCTCATACGACTTCAGGTTTGAGTTTATGTTTTTTGTCTCTAATAAAACTCGGGTACAAGATGATGCACGTTTGTTTTTACAAATACAAATTATGAAATTCCATTAATGATGAAAATATTAGACTAATCAATCACTATGACTTAAGTAAGGAATGATGGATTATTTGGAATACTTGTATTCTGTGGAGTGGAATATTACTCGTATAGTCGTATGTATGATGTTTGCAAGAAATGATTTGACTTTTACTGTCTACTATATAGACTTTAAGAAAATGTACAGAGCTCTTAATAAACCAATGCCATTCAGTGATGACATAAAAACACAACAAATTATGAGTTTCTTGATGGGTCTCCTGTCTAAGTTTGAAGCTACTAAGTTAAATATTCTCACCAGTAATGAGGTGTCTACATTGAATGATGATCTTTCTCGTATGACATAGTTATATTTCATGCAAATTCATTTTGAAATACTCAATATTCTTCTTGCTTTTTGTGTTGAAATTGAAACTCAATTCCATATACCCATTAGGATTTTGCAAAGTGGTAATGCTAAGGAGTATTCTTCATATCCTTTTGCTTCCTATATGCTTCAACAAGGCATGCTTCATCCGTCCTCTTATGTGGACACACCGTCATAAAATGGGTGGTTGAGTACAAAAATAGGCAATTGCTCGAGATTGCAAGGGTCTTTCTATTTCAAAGGCAAGTTCCCAAGCAATTCTCGGCCAATGTTGTTTCCACAACTTGCTTTCTAATAAATCACACGCCCTCCAAATTTTGAACGGAAAAACTCCATGTCATACTCTCTTTCCCATCAAAATATTTATTTCCCATTCAACCACACATTTGGTTGTACTTACTTTGTTCGAGATGTTTGTCCCTAGGTCACAAAGATAGACCCAAAGTCTTTAAAGTATATCTTTCACAATCATTCCTATGTACAAAAAGGGTATAAATGTGACTGTTGAATTTGGTAGGTGTCTTGAGTCTATAGATGTCACCTTTTATTAAGATGTCTCTTTCTTTCCTTCTTTTACAAATTCTATTAGTCAGGGGAGGTTCCTAACATTTTGATGTACACTATCACGTCCTCTGCTCCTATCCCTCCTATCTTACATGTGTATTCCCATTTCCCACAAGTCACGTCCTATTGTGCTCATCCTACTATCCTAGTTCTACCTCATGTGTCCCTTCCTAAACCCAATCTAGTTCTATGTTCTTAAGCCGCTTCTTCGTCATTTGATCCAATCTGACATCATTCAAGAAACTCATAATAGTCATTTGTTCTCGCTAGGTTTGTTGTACTTTTATGTCATCATTGAATGGCATTAGTTTATTAAGAGCTTCATACATTTTCTTAAAGTCCATATAGTAAACACTAAACAGTAAGAGTCAAATCATTTTAAGGAGAAAACATTTCAAAATATACCCTTATATTTTTCTATATTTGCATTACTTTTAATTATAATAAAACTAATAAACAATTAATAGTTTTGCATATTTAAGGAGAAAATATTTCCAAATATACCCTTATATTTTTATTTTTATTTTTGCATATTCTCCTAGCATTTCATATCCTACATTTTTAAAAAATTGTTGTTTTGTGCCTCATTTATTGTTTCTCATTTCTCATTTCCATGCTACTAGACCTAAAGAATTGAAATGTCTCTCTCATCTCTCTATCTCTCCCTCCCCAAAAAAATCCATCAAGGAGTTGAACATCCATTGTCCACAAAATGCTCCCATTCTCAAGACATAACAATCACCATACCATATATGCCATGTCCTTGTTACCATATTGCATTCAAATTTCACATAAGACTGAGAGTATAAATTTTGAACCTTATGATTATGGACTTTTGATGCTCCACATTTAAAAACTTAGTGTGTCAGTTGAGCTCACTAAAACCTAGCTGCACAAATCACAATTAATATTTCATTGCCACACAATATTCTATATTCCCCAAAAGATGCCCATTTAGGAGCTTGCATCATCAACACCGCAACACCAATGATTTCTTGCAGCATCTTAACTTATTTATACTGTCCCCACTCTCAACAAATCCATGATGTCTAATGGTGGCAAGCATGAGTGAAATAAGAAAATACCTAAAGGTTGTAGGTCATGGTTCAAGCTCTGCAAGCAACTTCACTGATAACAGAGGCAAATTTTCAGCTATTCCTTGTGATGGGCATATACTATATAGTCCACAGTCAAAAACTGTATTGAGACTAACAGATGAAGCTAACATAGTACTTGTCCCAAAGAATACAAATCAACAACTAAAATAATGATAGAAAAAATCTCACCTTTTCTGCTCAGCGGCAGAAAGTTTTGCTTCAAGTCGTTGCCCCAACTCCTCATCTTGTAAAGAAGATGACCATGTCAGAGATCTTAATTTTGTGCGTGCCTTGGATGACAAAATCTCATAAAATTGCTGCATTGCATTGAGTGTGCTAATAAATATAACTGAAACCAGAAGTTGATAGAAATATGGGTACAATCTTCTTAATTACACACATCCATTGCATTGTTAGTTTACCCATAATGGATTGTGGAAAAGAGGAAGGACTCTATTCTTAACAATGCCACTTTATTAAGCAAGTGAAGTTCATAAGAGTTTTATGTTTAAAAATAATAATAATAATTGTATCTATGCAAAGCACTAATGATTATCCAGATTAACATTATTCTCTGGCTTAGCATTATGGCAACAAAAAATCAGACTCAAACAGAGGACAACTCCAATTTTCCTTTTCTTCAGTTTCCACAATACAATCATTTTAGAAATCAAAATTAAGTTCTATGTATTGGTGAACATATAACCACACCCTATACAAGTAAAATATTCAATTTACATCCAATATTTTCTTCAAAGTTCAGGAAATCAACTTCTAGTTAAGTTCAGTGCAAAATTAAGCCCTGAAACAATAACTCCATTCTGGAAGACTACAAATTAACTTAGTCCAGCTCTCAGGAGTCAGGAAGGAAATGTTAAACAATAACATGAACGCCGAAATTCTTTCGGAAAAACAAAAGCTTTGGCATTACCTGGCGGCGTAATTCAGCGTCTCTGAGCTTGGCTTCAATATCTTGGGCGGTGGTGGAGGGGCTTTTAGCCTCGAGAAGGCGACGGCGAAGGCGGCGAGGGAGCCTAGGAGTGGACTGCAGCGACCCCGTATCAGAATCGTTCACCGGAAAACTTAAAGCTATTCCGGTAACACTGTCGGATTCAGGGGATCCGGCGTCCATTACCATGAGGTAACAGGCGTTATCCCCTAACTAACTACGAAAAATGCGGTGATCGATGTATAATAATTAAGATAAGCGCGCGATCAATGAGCTTGAACTGAGTTGGTAGAGACGACGAGCAATGCAATGATGGAAACGTGGATAAACTATAAATTTGAAAATGGAGGAGTGGAGAATATCTTTGGATCTATTCGTGGATTTGTGTCGATCTGGAGAGGAATCTAGCTCCTCCCAGAAGCACCGGGGACGATCCAGACCAAACGAGAGATTTTCGCTGAGATCTCCAATTCTACTATGAATTTTTTTTTTTTTTTTTGTTTGGTCAGTAGTCAGCAGTCAGTAAGAGGGAAAAATAAGTATTTTTCCCGAACAAGACTACTTTCAAAATTTTATTTATCTTTCAAACAGGTTGTTTTTTGGGTACAATCTTTCAAACAGGTTTTAATCACTATACTACAGTCTAAATTTGTTAATATTTTGTATTCTTTTAATAAAACTGTTTTTTTTTTAACTCATGAAATATACTTAAGAAAATTACAAATATTTGATACAATGTCTTGTATAAATGTTATATACTGACCATGAACAAGAAAATGTCACTTTATTAGAAAATGTCAACTTTTACAATATTTTGTTTGACAAATATATAGTGCTTTTTAAATTATTATAGTAAAAAAATTACTTAATATATCATATTTAGGTCTCTAAACATATTATCCATTACTATTATTTCTCAACATCTACATATTACGTAGTATCAATTAAATAAATAATCTTTTACATTATAGTGGATCTGGAGGTGGTGAAACAATAGAGTGTTCAACGGCGGAGAAGTGGAGATACAAAGGAAGATTGTGTGGATCAAAAAAATTGAGAGGAAATATGTCGTGCATTTATGCCAGAGGAAAACATGAAGTGTTTCGCCAGTATTGAAAAGATGACGAAACTCTGTTGGAAGCCATATGCTAACAATCATTATACCATTAATGTGGATAGTGTCAAGTCCTTGGCACAAACCACCGTTTGTTAGACGTTAAAAACAAGGATAGAAATGTAATTTACATTTCTTTGTCTTCTTTGATGTCCCTTTTCGTGCCCTCAATTTTGCGTAAAGGTAAGGTGCAGTCGATGACCTATAGAAGAATAATGAACAAGGACGAAAAAGAGACAGGGAAGAAAAATGACAAGGCTACGGCAGAGGAGGGGGGAGGGGGAGCGCGAGGTGGAGGAAACGATGAGGATTGTGGTGGAAGTGGAAGGTGTGGCGGAGATGAGAGTGGATCGCCGGAGAAGCCTTGAGCGGCGGATAAGGGGGGTCGAGGTGGAGGAAACGACGGAGATTGTGGTGGAAGCGGAATGTGTGGCGGATTGCCGGAGGAGCCCTGAGCGGCTTCAGTTTCAGGAGAAAGGGGATGGGATTGGGACAGATGGTTCTATAACCTATCTAATTTGCCTTGACGCTCGCATTTTCACAAATATTTGCTCTACAAATGACACAGAGAAAGCGATCGTGGTTACTACTATTTCAAGTTTTAATTTCTTGGCACTGGCGATCTTTTGGAGGCTATTGTTGCTCAACAAGCCCATGCCTTGGAGGTGGCGGCAGCAGCGCTTCAGCTACTTCTTCATGTCACCTGGTTCGGCTATCCACATTATCATTCAAGGCGGAGTGAGGTCTGGTGGCAACGACGATCGTCGCCTAGGCGCCGTTGACAGAATTGTTGAGGGAGATGGAGGGTCGAGCGGATGCGTAGACGACGGTGCTAAACAAGAGACAGGCATCCACGAAATCCTCATTCGATCCTGATGACTCCAAGTTATCTGGGACGCCGGAGGATAACCGGCCTCTAGGTTCGAAGAAATCATCTCTTCATCTTCGACATGGTCCCAGTTCATCGTTAACGTCCTCCATCAGCATAGCAATCCAAAGTTGGGGACGCTAGGAAAGAAAATGACTATTGAAATTTTCTATTTTACCCTTTTAGTTTGACAGTAAAATAGACTAAGGACTATTTCGATTAACGTTTTCATAGTTGAGGATGAAATTAGTCAATTTTAAAAGTCGAGGATCAAAATGGTGAAATCTTCGTAGACGAGGGATCAAATCAGTAATTAACTCTAATATTAAATTATAAAAGCGAAAAAAACTATTATTATTCTGAAAAATAAAATAAAAATAAAATCAATTCAATGGGAAGACAGCGCAGGCGGCAAATATATTGCCAATTCATACTTTCAAACCCACTCGCACGTAAATCGGGTTTGTTCACACGCGCATCGCTACACTTCTTCCAATAGGCAAATAGTCTTAAAGTCCACGGCCTAATCAGACGAGATCTCTTTGTAGTTTGTACTGTTGGCATTGAACTCAAAGAAGGTTGGCCACCTAATCTCAACGCCGAAGTCAATTTCACCTGCATATTGAGAGGAGAAGAGAGATATTGATCGGAAAGAGGATGATGAACTTGGTGGAAGCGGTGGTGCTGTTGGCGCTGGCGTCTGCTGCGGCGGTGCTGCCAACCGGGGAAGCGCTGTGGCTAGACTTGCCGAGTTCGGGAACCAAGTGTGTATCGGAGGAACTCCACAACAACGTCGTCGTTTTGGCGGATTATTACATCATCGGCGATGAGGAGCATAAAGTAGTCCCTACCTTCTCCGTCAAGGTATTAAAAAAAAAAAAAACTGAATTGCTTTGGATTGGATTGTTGACAAACTCGTTATCTGTAGTTTCTCGAACTTCTATGGTTTATTATACTCTGTGTACACCGAGAAAATCGATTTAGGGGGAAAGAAGTAAGTTGAAGATAGAATCATATGAAAGATTAAAAAAAAAAGAGAAATTTATTTGAAATCTGATCTGATACTCCGTATTATGGGAAGAATATGAATTTGGCCAATGTTGGGTGTTTGGTAAATAGTTGTTAGCTGATTGAGTTAGTGAGTTTGATTAGTTGATAGCATTAACTAATTGTAGAAAGATGTTTGGTAAATGAGTTGTTAGCTGATTACATACAAAATGACTTTTTGAAAAAACTAATCGAAAAAGTTGTTTTGAACAGCCTTTTGAATTTTAATTTTTTGGAGCAATAAGCCGTTACAAAAAGCTAATTAATCAAACACTCATATTGGTTGTTTAACCAAGTCAAATAACTAATAGTGGTCAAATAAGTCAAAATTGATTGATAGACTAACTATTTTACCACGATCAAAAAGGTTAATTAGTTTAAATAGTTCTACAAATATTCTTATGCTAAGTAGGGGTTGTAGTCACTTAGATTTGCAATAACAATATGGGAGGAACAGAATGCATTTCCTTTCACATGAGAAAACTTAAATACCATTTCTAAGTTTTGTGTTTGTTAATATATTCACTACTCATAGTTGCTCATCTGTTAGATAGAGAAGCATTTGATGCTGTTCAACTCTAGTCACCTTTGTCATATATTGTTTAAGGAAGCAGTCAAACTGGTGTTTAGACATACCTAAAAGCCCATCTAACAGGAACCAGATTACCTTGATCAGAAATTGGCATTCCATTGAGTCATGAAACTGAAGAAATTTCTTTATATCTCTATTTTTTATTTTGAAAATCAAAGGACGAAATTTTATTAAATCAAATCTTGAATACAAGAAGGAACTGAATAAAGCCAAATATTAGGACCAATCTGCGAACGGGCAACCTGTGCAAGGGCATGGGCAGCCTTATTCACTGATCTAGGAATAAACCTGAAGGACACATAAATAGGTTTTAGGCTTTAGATATTGCATGGGTGTTTGGCTTGCACATATTTCCTGAAAGAAATGCTCTTCCTATACTATTTTTTGAGCGAAAAAAAAAAAAAAAACGAAAATAGATTAATGAATAAGATGAGAGACACACTTAGGAGGAACCGACTCCCAGATGCAGAGACCCTCTCTCGGGTCAGACTCTACCTATACTATAAGCCATCTGAATATTGAAAAATTGATCACTTCCCAATATTTCCTGAATGGCACAACACCCCTATTTCAATCTTGCACTGACTGAAATTTCAATTTTCAAAACAGAATCCCTTCACCTTGCGACCCTTGATTCAATATTGATTCTAATTTACTTTTTTGAGAATCCTGGAGGCAACATTTTAAGAATCTAAACTACTTTTGAGCTTTTAATTGCTAAATGAATGTATTGGGTTCTTTGTTCTATGAGATAGCCTGATGAAAATAAAAACTCAATAACAGCAGTTAATAAACAAATAAGTCATGGTAGTGCATGAGACAAAATCTAATGTGATCAAACTTGAATGAAATTTAGGTGGTTGAGAAGTGAACGGTTAACAATCATTCGGGTCATGCAGATACTCCATAGTGCTTATATTCAGCCTTAGTTCATTTCCAATATTCTATGTTAAGCTGTACAGAGAGCCTAAACTTTGCAATATGAATCATCTCATCACTCAAAAATTCAATTTTTTAAGTTTTACTTTTGCATATCCTCTATAGGTGACATCGCCATATGGGAACAATCTCCACCATCAAGAGAATGTTACACATGGTCAATTTGCCTTTACAACAACGGAGTCTGGTAACTACCTGGCATGCTTCTGGATGGATGGGAATTTACCAGTGAGTAAGGGTGCAACTGTTGGTCTTGACTGGAAGACAGGAATTTTTGCTAAGGATTGGGAATCAGTTGCAAAGAAAGAGAAATTAGAAGTAAAGCTCTTCCTTTCTTGGGTGGTATTGGGTTGGGGGTTACTAATTATGCTACTGTTGTACAACACACACACACACTGACACACACACACACATATATATACATGTGTGTTGTGTATTTCATGCTATATTCTGGCTCATATATGACCTTTCTTTTCCTTCAGGGTGTCAATATTGAGTTGATGAAACTTGAAGGATTGGTTCAAGCCATCCATGAAAATTTGAACTATCTGAAGGAGAGGTAAGTTTGGTACACCAATGTTGTAAAGAATGACCTTTTATTACTTGTTTTGTGATGTTTTTGTCAGTCCTACTTGTCAAAGATTTATCTCCATCTTTATTTTTTGCTTAATCTGTTTGCAAACCAAACACCTTATCATAGTATCAGTTTAGCCTTTAAATGTAACAATAGTAATGGGGATAACCCAAAATACTATAGAGATAAGTCCCAAGGATTTGGGTAGGTACACAGTTCCCATCCTAAACCCCATCAATTGGGACACATGTTCACTTCTGAATTTATGCACCTGATAAAATTTGTGTTGCTAATTACTCCTTTTTTTCTCATCTATGCTTTCATTCATAAAGTGTTCTGAGTGATTCTTGAAATGCCAATGGTTCTTCATATGTACATTCAAGGTGAGAAATGAATGTTGATGGCATGACTTTCTGTGGACCGTACATTTGAATATTTTACTGGCTAAATTCACCCTCCATATTTTTAAAGATTACCTATTGTTGTGTGGGAATGGTACTGACAAGCTGTTCTCTATTGTGTGTGCAGGGAAGCGGAGATGAGGGAGGTGAGTGAGAAAACCAATGCGAGAGTGGCTTGGTTTAGTATAATGTCCCTTGGTATCTGTATAGTTGTTTCACTTGTGCAAATATGGCGTTTGAAGAACTTCTTTCAAAAGAAGAAGCTTATCTAAAGTTCAAGCTTTCGCTCCACCTTTTCCCTCAGAGAGAATCTCATAGGCTGATTTTCACCTTTTCCCCCCACTAAATCTGTATCATATACAATTATATACACTATCACCTTTGATAGGCTGAGCTTGTAACCACATGTCATATTTCATCAAAGCTGCAGGGAAAGGAATTGGCACTTGTGAGGTTTCAGTGTATGCTTTAGAAAACCAAATTCTTTTTAGAATTCTAATTACAAGAAATTTTCATCTCCATTATGTTAAGGTTATAACTTATAATGTCTGATAAATACTTGATTGAATATGGGCAAGTTAGTTCACAAAGGTAATCTGTGTCACTGTGTGGCTGTGTTTGGCGTAATCAATCTGAACTATCTTGGGGTTGGGGATATTCAAGTCAATAGGTATCCAAAACCATAGCAATAATACAAAGTGTCTGGTTCTTGCATAGAAGAAGTTGCAATATATGGTATAATAATCGTAAACGTAACAAGACCTAAAATTGGACAGTAAGAAGTTGCAATATATGGTTACCTATTAAAAGTAACCAAAATAAAATTGAAAATATAAACTCATTCTATAAGACATACCCTAGATGAAAACAAATCTCCCATCAGCCTGCATTCAAGTCCTCAATAATTTATTTATTCACCCAATGCAGCTGTGATCTTCTTCCGAACAAGCTCAACTCCAAGCCGAGGAGATAATCTAGGAAGAACTTCCTGTGATAGAATGATTTGAGGAGATTTTAAATCAAAGATGAGACCTATAAAGTAACCCTAACAAAAGAATCACGTAAAATATGTTTCAGAAGCATCCAATGGTCAAGTGATACAATATTTATGCAGTCATCTCAAACTGTTGGTAGTCTAAATTGGTAACTATAAATTGCTATTCAACATCATGAATAAACAATACCGGAGCTATCAAATCAATTTGTTGTCAAGAATTTAAGTATCATTGAAGTGGCATTCAATTAGTCACATTGTTAACCTAAACAAACAATAAAAGTGAAAAAGCATTACTCCATGCTTGCTAAATGAAGGTGGAAGAGAGGAATTAACAGAGAAAAGCAAGACAGATGAACATGAGTCGATGCCTCCCTTAGATTAACCGAGGTCTGAGGCAAACACATCAAAATTGGCACAGAAAGGTTGTGCAATGTGAACCTGATTCCCAATTGAAAACAGTTCTGAACTTGGAAGTCTTAATGAATAACTACAGAAGAAAGTGAACAAATCACGGAGACAAAAACATTCCATCACAACATATATATGCTAGTACTTATTCTCCAATGTCCTAACTCCTAAGTTCTAATTTGCCAATTAGACTTGGTAAGTATTTTTTTGCATCAAGCATTCTGTACTTTATCTTATCTCATCCCCATTCCCCTCAATTCAAGAACCAAAATCCTCATTCTTGGTTGATTTATTTCTTTGAAAAGTAACTGCCTTCTACCTTATCCTAAAAATATTTACATCAACACAGACTAAGGCTCAAGTTGAAGTAACCACACTTATCTAGCAATGACAGAGTTAAGTGCTATTTAACTAATTCTACAAGCAAAAGAATGATAGGCTAAGCATATGCATATACAGAAATGGCGTTTGGTAAGTAAAAACAAAAACAAAAAAGTACCTCGGTGCCATCAGGACAGAGTCTGGCCAATACAGGAATCTCAAATTGGTAGGCCTTCTCCCATTCGGGGTTAGTTGTGATATCTCTCACCTCTAAATCAACCACATATTCGGAGCCGGAGATGGAGAAAGCGGCGGCGAGCTTTTCTTTGAGGCCATCACACAAACAGCAACCGGGCTTTGAATATAATATCAATTTTCTCGAAGAAGAAGAAGGGGAAGAGTAGCAGTAGGAAACTACGGGAGACCATTTCCGGCGGCGATTGAAGGAGACGACCGTGTTTCTAGAAGCAGCTGCAGCTTGCCCTAGTAATCCTGCTCTCACTGCTCCGGCTACTGCAACCACCATATCTCTTTCAATTCCGCTCCTCAAAAACAATGACGGAGTACAATGTACTCCATAAAAGATTGTATATATATTTTCTCACCCATTATTTACCAGTTACCATGGCGCCATAGCCCATATCTCATCGACTAATTACAGTAAAATTTTACTATTCAAAGTTAAACAAAGTATTTATTTTCAAATTTCGACAATTGAAAATCCGAATTAATTAAGAAATCATAGGCAATATAATCCTAGTTTTTTTTTTCTTTTTTCTTTTTAAACAAAAGAAAAAACTAACAACGTCAATCCAACAGATACTGTCCGAGTATTGAAGGCAAATTCAAATCCTAAAATCGATAAGGAATACTGACCCACTGATCATGATTTTATTGAAGAAAAAAAAAAAATTATAACCATTTTTTTTTTCTAAATCGAGTGGAATATGATTTTATTGCAGAAAGAAAAAAAAAAACAAAAATTATACCCCATTTTTTTTCTAAATCCAGTGGAATATATCATGTCAGCAAAAAGTAAAAAATAAAAATATATGTAATACGGAGTATTACTTTAGAAATATGAATATATGAGTAAGGGGGAGGGCCAATATGTAAAGCAAAACCAAAAAGTGATATCATTGAGATGTTTCAACCTAGGGAGAGAGACTGGGATCAATTTCTTGAACCATACAAGTTATATACTACAAAAACATATTAAAGAGAGAGAGAAAGAGGGGGAGGGGGTGCAAAGATGTAAAGCTGCAAAACCAGAATCAACTTCATTGGAGTGTTTCAACCTACAGAGACTATGGTTCAATTTCTTGAACCATACAAGTAATATAGACCCATGACAGGAGTGCAGTTTATATACAAAACAAGTACGTTGCTGCCACTAATGGACCGATAGATCAAGCAATTGAGCATCTCCGCAATGCAGTGAAGCAACTCTGCAGCACGTTGGGGCAAGAAGGAATCGCTGTTATGAGTTGCCATGACGGAAATGGAGCCAAGTCGACCAACTTGCTTTGGAAGTAGGGCGTACAAACACGGGCTCTCATTCAAAATTCAGGCTAACAATGTGTAATAACCTTCCACCTGCATTTGCAAACCAAAATACCAGTAAATAACCCTTGGCTCTAGTGGTAGTGAGGACTCCTAGATCCAAGATCAGTGAGTTCAACACTTCAACCTCCCCCATTCTCTAATCTACTTAAAAGAAAAACTTCAATCTTCCAACTCCCCATAGTGTCAAAATAATAAAACAACAAAAGTCCACATAGATTGCAAGTTATAAAAAAACCACAGAATTGACAAGGAGATTAGGAGAAAAAGGGACCTCTGCCTATGCAGACTAATATGCGATCTTAATCAAGGCAGGTGTATTCGAGGTTGAATACCAAGTCAAAGTCTCTTCTTCAGCACATTTCTGCATGAATATTTGTCTTTTCTTTTCTTTTTTTAGTGCCAATATTTTATACATGAAATTGTCTCAACAGTAAGTTTACACATTCTACGTATAGAAACTTGTGCAGCTTTGGCATGGTCTAGAAAGAAACAAACAGATCTGAAAGAACAGCAAATATATTTTGCCTTCAACATTATATTAGCATAGGAGGGAATATAATGAGTTCCATAAAAATAAAAAGATAAAAACATGGAGTGACAATGGATCTCATATTTACTCCTACATCATGCCATGCTGTTGCTTGAATAATTACAGTTATAAACATATACGTATCAAGAAAAGTTAAATAAAAGTTGCAGTTCTGACATAAATTGTGTCTATTGAGACTCAGACTCTTTTATTGTGCTAAGGCACATAAGGCATCCAATATACGTGCAAGATTCAGAAGAACAGATATACTGAATTAATGAAAGTCTGAAAGATAGTCCATCTTGGAGCAAGGAAAAACATTAAACATTAACAAGGTTGCAAAACACGTTAGGCGGCCCCTAGGCGCCGATTTTTTATTTTTATTTTTAATTTTTTTTAAATGTAAAAAAAGAAAAATTAAAAATTATCAAAATTCACTAATAAAACATAAGGTTCTCATCATTTTTTCTTACAAACTATTTATTTAAGTGGCTATAAAGTAGTTTAAAATATTGTTGAAACCATCTAAATACATAAAAGATTAAAATTAAGAGCAAAAGAAGCATTTTTGGGAGAAATTAGAGGGCCAAACCGCCTTCAGCAATTTGCGGTGTATAGATCTCGAAAAAATACGTGATTTGAAAAAAAAAATTGTCCAAAATGAACAACCGAGTCAAAAGTTATGCCTTCGCAAAGTTTTTTACCCTAAATCCTTAAAAAAAAAATTAAATAAAGAAATCGGCCGGTTCAGCCGGCTAGGCGGTCTAGATACAGCAGCTGCTCTTCTATACCTTCAGGCTTTTGCCTAAGTACAGGCAACCACATGATACAAACATTCACAAAATCGCATATATAACAATACCATGATAATTCAGCACTTCAGCAAGTGAACCAATAAAGAGTTAAGGACCGCAGCTCTTCAGGTTTCCCCTAGAGTTCCTCCAGACACTTCATTGATTACTCCTTTGACCCTAAAATTGAGGGCATAGGAAGCTCACTGAAGTGTTTGGAAGAACTCCTGGAGTTACCTGATACACACATTATATGCATTATAGATTGCTAGTTTGTGAGATAATTACTGAAGCAACTGTGTATGTATACTCGAGCACAAGAACAGTAATGTTGGGGTTGTTTAGCAAAGCGGAAAATTGGAGAATTTCTGGAAAACTAGGAAATTGGAGAATTAGAAAATTGGAAAATGCCACAAACTTTTTTACTAAATTCAATTTTCCAACCTTAATTCTATCTCCATTCTTCCATTTCTCCAGCAAATTGGAGAATCCAAAATCAGCATTCTCCATTTGGAGAAATGGAAATACACGGATGACCAGTGCTCTGAGGCCGACGGATCGGTTCCTGCCTGGGGTGCTGGGGACAATTTTTCCTTCTCACCCCCCCCCCCCCCCCCCCCGACCCCCCGTTCTTCTTTCTTTCTTTGTAATATTATTTTGTTCGTATTAAGTTTCTTCCATTTTTTAAAAATATTTTTGTTGCAATATTTGTTATTTTACTCATTTTATTGGATAAGAATTACCGTGCATGTGACATGTGCATTTAATTTAATTTCAATTATCACATTTTTTTAAATTTTTATTTTTTTTACAATTTTGAGAGGATGAGATTCTAGAAATTTGATGGTATGAGGTACAAAAGTATTTTTAAGAAAATCATATTAATTAGATAATGTGAGATATATATGCAAATAACTTGCACTTTAAAAGTGTAATTAATTAATTGTAATCCCTCTTTGCATATTCCCTTTCCTTTTTCTCCTTTGCGTACACAACATTAGTCTCCTCCATCCCCCCCCCCCCCCCCCCCCCCCCTAAATTGAAATAGTTGTAATTTATTTAGTAATATGCTTTTATTAACTTTTGTTACCTTTTACACATTTAGTATTAGCGTATTGAATTTTTTTAATTTAAAAATTAAATTTGTAAAATGAAATCAGAAAATTAGAGAAATGGAGAAGGAAAATTAGAAAACTAGAAAATGAAAACAGAGAAATGCAGTAAACGCTAATGTTTTTAGGTATTCTATCTCCAAGTCACTTCTGCTATCAACATGATGGTTGTATAGTTTTCAACCACGCATAACAGCTCTTCATTCACTTCTACAGACTTTTGGTTTGTTTTGGGCTTATGATTTCATCATTTTTTGTAGGATTTGTTTTTTAATGATGGGTTCATGCTTTCGAATTTGTTTTAATTTTGATGTTCCTTTTCTTGGTGGCAGCTTATGGATCTTGTTTTTGCTTGAATCTTAACAAGCCCCGCAATGGATCACTTATTCATTTAATTTACGCTATTTAATTTAAGTTTGAAATGCGGTTACCAAATAAGTATATAGACTGCTGTTATGGTACTTAATTTTGGCCAAAGATATTTGCCGATGACTAGCAAAACATCACTTATTCAAAGTAACAAATTCATTTAGGTAGCTTGATAACAGGATAATCTCACATACAAATGCACAAGAATTCTTGAAGTACAAAGAAGATTACCTTAGAAGCGCCTTTTCTGTTGGGGAGGGAATCCAGTCATTCCCATTCCTTGGTCCTTTCTTCTCATCTGGAATCATATAATGAATACATCCATAACGGGACACAACTGAAAGTACGTAATAGAAGTATTTGGCTCATTATAAAAAACCTGTTGTTGATGAGCTTGGGCAGCAACACCACGCTGCATTGGCATGTTGCTGGGGTTAATCCCACCACCCATCCCAGCCTGAGAAGCCATATTATAAGGAGGCATGCCTTGTGGTTGCATTCGTGGCATGTTGACCACATGCATTGGCCGGGGTACAGATCTAGTGTTCATTACATGATGGCCTTGCATGTTACCAGAAACAGCAGCTCCAGATGATACCTTCTCCAAAATTTGATGGTGGAGAAATATTTAAATTATCCAGATATTCATAGGAAAAAATTCAAGAACTTTCAACCACTTATATGTTGTTAGACAAAGTCAAAAGATACTAAGCTAGAAGATTTCAGGGAAAAAAAAGTAGACAGATCATGAATGTCAATGATCCTGGTAAGTTTGAATCAAGTAATCAACAAGTCAATTACAAAAGTTTGGTGCTCACTGGCTGATGTTGAAGATTGCTTGTTCCTTCGAACTCTGTATTTGTGTCCACTGGTCGAGTTGGATAGTTGACAACTTTTTCTCCAGGTTGCATGGGCACAAGTGCACTGGCATTGTAATGAAATATTTATTTATAACATAATATTATCTTATGGGAGGGGTAAGAAAGGGAAAGTATACATAGTTCATAAAATAAAAATAAAAGGCAGTGAATGGGCATATAAAAGGGGATGACTACTAAATAAAATGGGGTGATGAGCAACGAGAAAGAAGGCATGAAGAAGACCGAGTAAAGATGGTCCCCAACCTTGTATTCTTTAACCTCTCTGTTGAATTTGAAAGATTTAAAGGCCTGGCAGGTGGAGAATAACAACCACCCGCCAGTTAGGACTTAGGCGGAAGCAGAGATGAAGA